CTGGCCGGTGGCGCCCTCGCTGGCCTTGGCGTCCGGGCGGTGGCACCACGCGGGGACTGCCCCGCGCCCCGGTGGCCAACGTTAGGCGTGGGACCGAGCCCGCCGCCCGCCCCCAGCATGCGCACCTCGTACACCGTGACCCTGCCCGAGGAGCCCCCGGCCCCCTTCCCCGCCCTCGCCAAGGAGCTGCGGCCGCGCTCCCCGCTCTCCCCGTCCCTGCTGCTCTCTACCTTCGTGGGGCTCCTGCTCAACAAAGCCAAGGTACGCGGGCCCTTTGCCAGACCCCGCGCCGAGGCCTGGGGTCCCACCTGCTCCCCGGACACCCTCGCCCGCGCCACGCGACCCTCGGCGGGGGGCGGATTCTTCCCAGCCCCCACCCCACCTTTCCCGGGGTCCCCGACAAGGAATGCCCCCTCCCCAGGTGATCGCACGCTTACTCGGGTCCCCTCCCCTAGTTAAGGTCCCGGCCGGAGTTCCCCTTTCCCCTTGTCTTCTGGGTGACTCTGGCTTCTTAATACCCAGCTCCCACCAGGACAGGTGCAGGAAGGCGTAACCTTGACTAGTCTCAGAGCCCGAGGGAGCAGGCAGCTGGACTCGGGGTGACTCCTCCTAGGCCAGACCCCAGCAAGGAAGACTCCTCAGAAAGGGGCCGCCTCCCACCCACTGTTCCCCAAGGGGCTCTCTCCCAGGGGACCGGGGGCCCTTTGACCCTGTGAAGGGCAGAGGAGTTGCAGACGGGTGAATAAGGGCAATGTCTCTTTCCTCTGGGCCCCACTCAAGTTCCTGGAAATGGGCAGCAGACCCTCCATGGAAGCAGGGGCCGGAGTTATGCTGGGGCTGCCGGTGGGGAAGAGAAAAGGGGCCCGAGCTTGACAGGTCTTATGTAACAGGCAGCGGCTCCCGTGTTGGCAGTGCTGCCCTGCCGGGTGCCAGGGCCACGCCAGGCTCCTTGGCTGGAGCCAGGACTCCTGGCTGACCCTCACAGCACAGGTGAAGTGAGGAAGGCCTGTGACTGGGGTCTTGTGTGGGAAGACCCGAGCCTCAGTGTGCAGAAAGCTGGGGTCCCCAGGTGCCTGCCATCCCCTAAGGAGGGCTCTCCGAGCCCCCGTCCCTGCTCTGGAAGGTGAATGCGAGTATAGGTTGTGGAGTAGATCTGCTCTCTAGAATCGCACTTGGCTACTGAGTCGGGCCAGGTTTGCTGCTGGCTGTGTGTAAGGAAGCTGGGGTCCAGACTTCCACTCTGTACCCGAGTGCCAGGGCACCAGCTGGAGTCACCGCCTTCTGCTCTTGCCCAGAGGAGGCTGGCTCTGCAGGGTCTCTCCCCATGTCGCCCCGAGGTAGGAGTGTGTGCCCCTTAAGAAAGGTCACTCCTGGGACATTTTGTTCCTCTCTGGAATGGAAAGTGCTGACTTCCCCTGCAGCTCCTGATTTCCTATTCATGGCTGAAAAGCAGCCCTGCTGGCTCCTCCACCACCACCCCCAACTCAGCGATCTGCCACCCCCAACTCGGCCATCCACCGCCCGCCCGCTGCCGAGTGCTTCAAAGTGGCCATTGGTTTGGAGCTCAGGAAATTTTACACAGAAGTCATGAGCTCCTACCCTCAGAGAAATAAAAGCATCCTGGTGATGCCTTAAGGGAGCCTCCCCCATCTCCCCACAGCTCAGGCTAGCAGAAGGGTTAGCTCCTCAGGAACAGGAACTGTGGGTCACAGAACACTCTTGACTCTCACCTGCTGGGGCAGAGTTTAAAGTGTCAGCACCATTTTTTTTCATTTGTTATTAGCGTGTATGCACTCACCAGAGACAGAGAAAGTAAGAAATGGCCCCCAAGGGATGGTCACACCACTATCCCTTCCCCTGCATTCTCCTCTTTGGATTTTGCACACGCACACACACCTGGCCTGGTTTTCAAGCCACCGGGTCTGGGACTCAAACCAAACCGTCGGCCCTGTGGGATTCAGCTGCTTTCACCACCACACCACCCACTGGCCCCATCAGCAAAATCTTAAAACATCTTGAGAGCGCTTCCAGAGACTGTTGATGCATTTCCCATCCTCAAACCCCCCTCCCCAGGTGCTGAGTGACTTCGGTCTCAGCCTGGGCCTGCTTTGGTGAGCACAGAGGGTCACATGGTAGGATGCGTTGCTCCTGCAGCCTGTTTAGACAGGTGCCTGCTTGAGGGGGGAGCGGGGGGAGGACTAAGAAGGCACTGTCAAAAATGGGTGTGGGGAGGGATCTGTGGTGGGCCAGCTGCACCTCAGTGACCAGTAGGCACCATGGAGACCGGGTGGCATTTTTGCTGGGCCCAACAGAGGCCTTCACAAATTCCACCTGAAAATGCTAGTAAGGTGTCTGCCAGGGAATTCTCTCTGCTGTGGCCCTATTGCTGGAACTTCGGGGTTTAGACTGTCAGTAAGGTAAGAGTTCTTTTCTGGGACCAGCAGGTGATGTGAACGTTACAGTAGGCTAGAGCCCCTGTGGCTGACTGCACGGTTCAAGTCCCAGACTCGGAAGCTTGAAAATCATGCTGGGCGCATGTGCATGTGTGCCCAAAATCCTGCGAGGAGAATGGAGAAGAAGAGATTGTGATGTGGCCATCCCCCCGGAGGGTGATTTCTCACTTTCTCTCTCTCTCACCTGAGTGTATACACCATATAACAAAACTTTAAAAAAAAAAAAAAAAAAAAAAAAAGGAAAGAAAAAAAAAAAAAGATCCCGGTTCCATCTGAGGCTGGCTACTTCTAGCACTAGCAGGGCTTTGAGGAATGCATGTACCCCACTGGGTGCTGAGAGGCTCTTCCATCTAGCTGCAGGTTTAAACCAGGTCTCTCTTCTGCGTCTGTTTTCTCCCCTGCCTGTTAATGTGTTAGACCTGACGACTGGCCAGAGGAGAGGTCCTCTGACTGCTGGGAGGGGCAGGGCAGTTCTTGAGAAAAGCCCTCCTTCGGCCGCTCCTCTCCCCCCTCCCCCTCGAGCTGACAATCTCATGGGCTTTGAGCTGCTGACAGCCTACAAGGCTGGCAGCACACGGCATGAGTAATTTTAGCTGAGTTATTTCAGGCTCCTGTTCTGATCAGGGTTGAGCTGGCCCCACGCATGCCCCAGCCAGTGTTGCTCCAGAGTTGCCTGCTCCCAGGCCCCCTCCCTCAGAGAGGGGGTGGCAGACTCATCTTCAAACTGTTCCCTTAACCCTTTGTGGAGGTTTTCAGCCTGCCTGGCGGTATGCCGGGATGAGCCAAGAGCCCTTGACAAAGGAGACTCACCTGTTCTCTCCAGCCCCCTCACCAGCCTCCACAGCAGGGACCAGAGAGGGAGTGGCACCTGCAGCCAGGTGCTCACCATCACCATTCGCAGCCAATGGCCCGTCAGGACGCGGAAATCTGAGCCAGGCAGGGAGGATTCTCCCAGCTTTTAACCAGCCCTTAGGAGCTGAGCTCAGCTGGAAGAAATTCCACCTGTCTCTGGTGGTTCCTGACCGACTTGAAACTCTGGGTATTTTGGTCATTTAACTTTTTTTTTTTTTTTTTTGAGAGATTTTTGCTATGGGGCACCTGTGCTCACCAGAAAGACAGAGAGAGAGACAGAAAGCGAGAAATCACCCCCCAGGGGGGATGGCCACGCCACAATCCCTTCTCCTCCATTCTCCTCTTGGGATCTTAGGCATGCAAGCACATGCACCCAGCATGAGTTTAAGGCGCCAGGTCCGGGACTTGAACCGCAGTCGACTATATGGGAGTCCAGCGACCCAGCCATTACGCCAACTGCTGGTCCCAGGTTGAACTTTTCAAAGCCTCCTTGAAGTGCCTATTATGACAGCTACTTTATATATTAGACATCTGGTAGTAAAATGTAGGTCATTCGAGAATTGGGACTTGAAATTTCTCGTAGCCAGAAGTCATGTGTGTGCCCAATATATGAATTCTAGGTCTCGGGTTCTAATCTCCACTTGCCACTGTGGCAGAGAACAAATAACACAGATGGGATGAAGTACATGGTCACAGGAAGAAAGCAAACCCTGTGAAGAAAATAAGAGGTTGAAAATACTAGGCACTGGCCCAGCAGGTAGCCTCTAGGTTAAGGCAGGTAGATCCTGCATGGCCAACTTCACAGTTTGAGTCCTGGACCCAGCAGCTTGAAAATCACACCGGATGCACGTGCATTTATACCCAAAGTCCTGAGAGGAGAATGGAGAAGGGATCATGGTGTAGCCATCCCTCCTGGGGGGCTGCTCTCTCACTTTCTCTATCTCCCCTTCTCCCACCCCCCTACCACCCTCCTCCCATGAGTATACATGCCCTACAGCAAATTTTTTTTAAAAAGTAAGAAAATGACAAGCATCCCTCAGTCCTGTTTCTTACCAGGTACATAGACCAAGGACAGGAAAGACTACGTGTGCTCTGCTGCTCAAGGCTCCCCCTGGCAGCAAGGTGCAGGAGAGAGCTGGTGTGGGCCCAGCCTCTTCGCCTCCACCTCACTGCCGTGTATCCTTTGTTTACAGAGTTCTAAGAGTGCCCAGGGACTGGCTGGTCTTCGAAATCTTGGGAATACGGTGAGTTTTTTCCAGCCCACTTCATTCCCAGGCTCACCCCCTACTATTCTTTTTTTTTTTTTTGCTATAGGACGCGTGCGCTCGCCAGAAAGATAAAGAGAGACAGACAGAAAGAAAGCAAGAAATCACCCCCCAGGGGGCATAGCCACACCACAGTCCCTTCTCCTCCATTCTCCTCTCGGGATCCTGAGCATGCATGCACACGCGCCAAACATGAGTTCAAGCCACTGAGTCCAGGACTTGAACTATGATCAACTACGTGGGAGTTCAGCGACATAGCCTTATGCCATCTGCTGGTCCCACCCCCTACTATTCTGACAGGGCCTACCTGACCAGAATCAACTCTGGCTCCAGCTGTCCACCTACCCTCTGACCAGGCAGTACCTGTCCCTCCTGGCTGCTGTCTCTCAGGATCACTGGGCTCTGCTTCACCCACTCCTAGCAGGAAGCACTGTGAGAAGGAAGTTGCCCTTTTACTGTAGCTTACTGCTCACCTGGACACTTCTCCCCAAGGACACCCATCACTTCCCACCCACATCTAGCCACCACACCCGCACCCTGTCACACAGCTCTGTAGCAAACAACCAGTTACGTCACCCGTGCCCGTGGTGCGGCATTGCCTCGCGTCACCCTTCTCACTTACGAGAAGAGGCAGTTGAGGCTGAGGGGTTCGTGTCTGGGCAGACTCGCCTGGTAGTCCTTGGTACGAAGTAGCAGGGAGGCCGCGGGGTCCTGGCTCCCACTGACGGCCACTGTCGCCCGCAGTGCTTCATGAACTCGATTCTGCAGTGCCTGAGCAACACCCGGGAGCTGCGGGATTACTGCCTGCAGAGGCTATACCTACGCGACCTGAGCCACAGCAGCAGCACACACACGGCGCTCATGGAAGGTTAGCGGAGGGCCGCCTGGCACCACCCTGCTCCCCCAGGCCCACCCCTCCACCGAGACTGTGCAGGAGCTGGGCTCTGGATGGCCCTTCCTGGTTCCCTGCTTTACCTGTTTTTGATGGGGTCTAGTTTCAGAGGCTCTTACAGACATCTCTCCTGTCTCTATGCCCGCGCTCTGCCCTCTCCTACAGAGTTTGCGAAACTAATCCAGGCCATATGGACTTCATCCCCCAACGACGTGGTGAGCCCATCTGAGTTCAAGACCCAGATCCAGAGATACGCACCACGCTTCGTTGGCTATAAGTAAGGGCCCAGGGCCGGTGCCAGCAGGGCAGGTTCCTGGGACCCGCAGTCTGTGGCTCACGCTCTCATCTCGGCTTCAGCCAGCAGGACGCTCAGGAGTTCCTGCGCTTTCTTCTGGACGGGCTCCACAACGAGGTGAACCGCGTGACGGCGAGGCCGAAGCCCAGCCCCGAGAACCTCGACCATCTTCCGTAAGTAAGGGAATGCCGCAGGGTGAGACCTGCATGCCCTCGGTGTTCTCCGAGCTGCTCCAGGAGCCATGGTTTGCTCAGTCACGTTCCTGTGTGAAGAGCAGAGATCAGATTGACAGACCTTCCAGTTATCCTGGCTTGCTGTCTGACCCGACGGCTGTCCTCTCTGTCCATAGTGACGACGAGAAAGGGCGCCAGATGTGGAGGAGGTACCTGGAACGGGAGGACAGTCGGATTGGGGGTAAGTGCCTGGTGGAAGAAGGCCCCCACTCTCTGCTGTGCAGAGCGTGGACAGCTCCGAGGGCATTTCCCCAAGGAACCCTATTTCTGCCCAGACTCCAGCAAACTGAGGCAGGGCGTGAGTCGCCACAGAGCCTGTGCCGGCCCCGCAGCTCAGCCTCTCACGCTCCCTCCAGATCTCTTCGTGGGGCAGCTGAAGAGCTCCCTGACCTGCACCGACTGCGGCTTCTGCTCCACGGTCTTCGACCCCTTCTGGGACCTCTCACTGCCCATTGCAAAGGTACGCACCCCTGCACCGACGCCCTCCAGACCGCCGCGCTGGCCTTCCTGCCATTGACCTCTGACCTTTCCTTCACTCTCCCAGCGAGGTTACCCTGAGGTGACATTAATGGACTGCATGAGGCTCTTCACCAAAGAGGATGTGCTCGATGGTGATGAAAAGCCAGTAAGTTACCCTTGTCCAGCCAGAACTGTCGCGAGGCCCTGGGGCAGTGCTGTACCAGCCGAGGTCAAGCCGAGGAGCCACGGGACTCCGTGCACTGACTTGAAGGCAAGCTCTCTGCAGCTGTTCGTCTTGTCTTTCAGACGTGCTGTCGCTGCCGAGCCAGAAAGCGATGTATAAAGAAGTTCTCCATCCAGAGGTTCCCAAAGATCTTGGTGCTCCGTATCCTTGGGGTCCATTGGGACAGGGACTTGACCCTTCCTTTTTTTTTTTTTTAAGTTTAATTTTTATTTTAAAGAATTATTTTGTTAATTTTATTTATTATTATTACCTTTTCATTTGGCCAGACAGACAGAGAGGGATAGTGAGAAAGCAAGCCACCAAATCAGGGACTCGAACCACGGGTGGCCATGTGCGAGTCCAGTGCCTCAGCCACCACACCACCTGCTAACCCTCCTTTTTGAAAAATGTGCTAGAATGTGCATTTGCCAGCGAGAGAGACAGAGTGAGAAAGCCCCTACATGGGAGATGGCCACACCACAATCCCTCGCCTTCCAGCACTCTCCTGGGATTTGGGCCCCGTGCACTTGCACCCGGTACAGTTCTCAAGCCACGTGGTCTAGAACTTGAACCACACAGTCAGTTGTGCCAGCTCTGGCTGCCTTAAGCACCTGACCACAGAGCCACCCAGGACGCGAGCCTTGATGACTTATTTAAGATTTTTGCTGTAGGGCAGGTGCACTTGACGGAGAAAGCATCCACCAGGGAGGGTGACCACACTCTAATCCTCTCTCCACGGAGATAGGTCTCCTGGGAGTTTGGGGGAGCACATGCACGCATGCGCACACACACACACAGGTGCTCAGCATATTTTTCAAGTCCCCAGGTCCAGCACTCAAACCATGTAGTCAGCCATGTGGGATCTAGCACCTTAGCCACCTGCTGGCGTGAGGATGACTCTCTGAGACTAGCAAAGAGCCAGAAGTTGGGGGCTTTGGCCGTGTCTGCCTTTCTCTCCTGAGAACAGTGCGGCTGCCCACCTAGACCTCAGTGCCGCAGGCCACCTGTGCCCTGCTCCACTGCCGTCCTTGACTCACTCCCACCCAGATCTGAAGCGGTTCTCAGAATCCAGGATACGAACCAGCAAGCTCACAACATTTGTGAATTTCCCACTACGAGACCTGGACTTGAGAGAATTTGCCTCAGAAAACACCAGTGAGTATCTGTCCATGAGAAGAGCAGAAGCAGGCCTTGCCCAGAGGCGAGAAGTCCGAGATGCAGCCAGGGGTGCGAGGGGAGGGAAGTGCCAGAGGAAGTTAGAGAGATGCTGGGACTGCGAGGTGGGTGGGGACACGGGCCAGGAGCGCCTCGGGCCGTGACACCGTGCATTTCCCCAGACCACGCTGTTTACAACCTGTACGCTGTGTCCAACCACTCCGGAACCACCATGGGCGGCCACTACACAGCTTACTGCCGGAGTCCCGTGACGGGCGAGTGGCACACGTTCAATGACTCGAGGTAAGAGCCCAGCCTCAGCCCCTGCTCCTTACTTACCTGCGCGGCTTTTTACTGAAGGACAGAAAGGTCAGAGGCAGACAGCTACATAATGCAGGGGACTGCTGCCCAAGGCTCTGGAAGGCTGCAGGTGGGGCTGCAGGTGGAGTGGTGGGTAAGGCACTGGACTCCCACATGGCCAGCTGTGTTTGAGTCCTGAGCCTGACAGCTTCAAAATCACACTGGCTGCGTGTGCATGCGTGCCCCAAATCCCAGGAGAATGGCCATCTCCCCTGGGCGGGGGCCGGGGGGAAAAAAAAAAAAAAAAAAAAAAAAAGTGGCTTGGGGACAGGGTGGAGAAATTAGAGCAGGGCCTGAGCCCCTTGGCCCCTCAGTTCTGCATCCCCAGGCCCCTCCCCAGGACACTGACAGTCCCTGCTCTCTCTGCAGTGTCTCACCCATGTCCTCCAGCCAAGTGCGCACCAGCGACGCCTATCTGCTCTTCTACGAGTTGGCCAGTCCACCCTCCCGAATGTAGCTGCGAGGAGCTTCGTCCTTTCTCCCTGCCTGTGGCGGCCCCATGCCCTAAGTTTTTTAAAAAGACAAAACAAAACAAAACAAAAAAATACAAAACAAAAAAAAACTGACAAATAAGAGGAAAATAAACTGAAATAAAGCCGCCGAGCAGGAGTTGGTGCAGCCTGTCAGGGCCTGGAGTGAGAAGCCGGGCGCTCCCAGCCACAGCCTGGCGGGAAGATCGGCCGGACACAGAGACCGGAGTCGGCACGGCGCTCCGGTGGCCTCTCTCGTTTGCATTTTGAGCTTGTGGTTTTTTCCTGTGTGTAATAAACAGCGCTCTGCGGGAAGAGCCTCGTCCACCTGCTGCCCTCCAGCCCCTGCGCCTTCTGAGAAGACAGCGCCCTCTGGAGCCTGCTGGGAGTATCGCTGCCTGGAAGCGCCCCACCAGGCCACGGAGGAGCCAGGCGCCCCGTCTTCACTGGACCCACTCTGTCCAGAGCAGAAACCAACCCATGAGCCAACAGCCCTCTTAACGCTGCTAACTCCAGGGGGCTAGAAGAGGGGACTTCTTTGAAAAAAACAAAAACAAAAACAAAAAAAGCTGGTTTCGTTTTTTTCTTTTTTTAAATTACCATAACTAAAGTTTTCAGACTGGAGATGTTCTTCTTCAGTCTCTTCCCAGCTGGAATGTTGTACTAGTCCTGTGTTTTGTTTTGTTTTTTTAATTCTTCGAGTACAACTTTTCTAATGCTAGCCCCCCGTGGTGCTAGGTGGGTGTTGGCTAGGCCCCAAGCACAGCCACACATAGACCTGGGAGCTAAACAGTTTTTATTTATTATTGGCTTTTTTTTTTTTTTAATGTTTTGGATGGAATCTAGTTGCCTCCAAGAATTGTGCCTTATAGCATTTGGGGACCAGGGGGTAACTGCCCCTCCCTGAGATATCCCTCAACCTCTTCCCTTTTCCCCAGTGTCATGTTCAAATCCGCTGGGGGAAGTAGGGGTCCTGTCCTGGGCCCCCGCACGTTGCGCGTTGCAGAGGGGCGAAGAGGAAGGTAGGTAAAAGCAGCTTTGTTAGGATAGGCCATCGAGGTGTTCCTGCCCCCTTCCTCTGTCCCGCTCCTGGTCTGCTCCCCAGCTGTTTGAAGGGTAGCACAAGCCCCTTAACCCTAGAGCTTCCCTCACCTTTAATTTATTCTTAATGTCCCTTTCTCCCTGGCCTTCCTGACACCCACCCCCTTCTCAGAGCCTCCTAGACATAGGCCCTTCGGACCGAGTTTCTCAGGGATGCCCACGCCACCCGCAGCCCCTCTTGGCATGGGTCTTCAGTCCCGCCCGGGGAGCTGTAGCTGGGTGTCTGGGGACATCTTGCCTCAGTCGTACGATTCTTTCCAATGGGCTCACTTTTGCCCTGAGTAGACGGGCGAGACTCCATGCTGTCCCAGAGTAGAGCCCCGAGCACTTGGCGTGGAGCCCTGTGCACCTGTGCACACGCGCAACTGGGCCCGGCCTGTGCCCCTCGGAGCCCAGCGCGCCCCTGTGCTCTGGGAGGAGGCAGCAGAGAAAGACACCCTGAGTTTAACTGGCCTGACACCCTTCTCCAGGGAAGACCTGGGAACCTGAGCCCAAGGGCTGGTGTACACTTGTTTACTGTGTAAGCAAGAGTAGAAGAATGTCTCATGTACAGTGCGACCGTGTACAGAATAAATCATAGCTTTGAGAAATAAGTCGGTCAGCCATGGAGTCTTGATTTGGGAGGGTGTGAGCCCAGGAAGGGTTCTGGCGTTTCAGTGGTCGTGTATTTCTTCCGCCAGTTTGTAAGATCTAAATTCCGGAAAGTTTAAGCTTCTTTCTTTTATTTTTTTTAGCTTTGCTATAGGGTGCATGTGTTCACCAAAGAGAAGTAAAGTGAGAAATCACCCCCCGAGGGGGATGGCCACACTGCAGTCCCTTCTCTTCCAGTCTCTTCTCAGGATTTTGGGCACACACACACACACATGCCCAGCATGATTTTCACGCTAGAGGGTCCAGGACTTGAACCAGGCCAAATGGGATCCAGTGCCTTAAGCTCCATGCCACCTGGTGGTCCTATTTTAAATTTACTCCCCCCACCCCAATTTGTCACGGGGTACATGCACTTGCTGGAGGGACAGGTGCAGAATAAAAAGGCATCCCCCCATTGGCAATGGCCACACTGCAATCACTTCTCCCATTTCTCCTTTCAGGATTTTGGGCACACACATGCACTTGGCATGTTTCTCAAGCCTTGAGGTCCAGAACTAGAACCACGTAGTTGGCATGTGGGAGCCAGCTGCCTTCACCACCACACGACTGGCTAGCCCTAAACTTTTTAGTTCTATAAAGAAGCTGAAGGGGCCAGCAGGTGGCGTAACGGTTAAGGCCCTGGACTCCCACATGGCTGACCGTGGTTCAGTCCCAGACTCAGTGGCCTGAAGCACGCTGGCATGTGTGTGTGCGTGCATACTCAAACTCCCGAGAGGAGAATGGAGTAGAAGGGATTGTGCCATTCCCCCCCCCCCACGGGGTGCTTTCTCACTCTCCTCAGTGAGTGCTCCTTCCCTACAGGAAAAATCTCTAAAAAAATGTAAAAAGCTGGGATAGTACACATTTTGGACACAGTACTTTTCATCTAGACCCACCAATAGATTGCTTTTTTCCACATTTGTTTATGCTTTTTTTTTTTTTTTAAGTTTGTTTATTCCATGAGTCAGAGTATTCCCAATAGGGTCTCAACTCTGTGACTCATCCCCAGCCTCAGCCAGATCATAGGTACACGTGTGTCCGGCAAACACAGGGCGGTCTCCACACGAACCAGCATCCTTCCCACGGGGTCTCCCTCGCAGGGCGACACGTTTGCTCATTGCACCACCATCTGGCCCCTCCGGCTATTGTATCGGCATAGGTGTTTTATCCTCTCATAATGCCTTAGTGTACATCTAAGAGAAAGGACACGTGTAACCATGTTTTAAAACCTAAGGGTGGGACCAGCAGATGGTATAATTGGTTATGTTGCTGGACTTCCACGTGGTCGAGCCCCAGACCTGGCGACTTAAAACTCACACCAGGCACTGGGACCAGCCCTTGGCGTAATGGCTATGTCGCTAGATTCCCATGTAGTCAACCGTGGTTCAAGTCCCTGACCCGGCAGCTTAAACTCATGCTAGGTGTGCGTGCGTGCCCAAGATCCCGAGAGGAGAATGGAGGAGAAGGGATTGCGGAGTAGCCATCTCCCCCCTGGGGGATGGTTTCTCTGTCTCTCTCTGGTGAGCGCATGTGCCCTATAGCAAAAAATCTCTCAAAAAACAAACAACAACAACAGCAAAAACTCACACCAGGCACATGTGTGTGCATGCCCAAGATCCCAAGAGAATAGAGGGGAAAGGATTATAGTGTGGCCATCCTCTCCAGGAAGTGGGTTTCTTTGTTTCTCCAGTGAGTGCTAGTGCCCTGTAGCAAACAAAACAAACAAAAACTAGGGGAATCAACATATCTGATACTTGTTTTTTTTCTTTTTTGGAGAGTTTGTTTGGTTGGTTGGGGTTTTTTTGTTTTGTTTTGTTTTGCTATAGGGCACGTGCACTCGCCAGAAAGAGAGACAGAAAGCGAGAAATTGCCCCCCCCCCCCCCA